AACGTTTAAGAATTGCTCTGAACCGCCGTGATAATCTCCATAACGAAAACCCCAGTTCATTACTAGTGTGAACTTCTTGAGATAATGATGATGATACCTCGTGAACCCGTACATGCCACACCCCTAGTGTAACATTGTAATATATATATTTAATTATTTTCCTTTCACTGTGATACTATCGATTTCTAGCCGTTTTTCTTAAGTAATGCAATCCTAAACATAAAGATTGCGGACTGTGACTCGAGTTTAGGGCTACCCTCCGTGGAGGAAAAAATAAAGATTACTGACTGTGACTCGAGTTTAGAGTTACCCTCCGTGGAGGAAAAATAAAGATTGCTGACTGTGACTCGAGTTAAGGGGTACCCTCCGTGGAGGAAAAATAAAGATTACTGACTGTGACTCGAGTTTAGGGCTACCCTCCGTAGGGGAAAAATAAAGATTGCTGACTGTGACTCGAGTTTAGGGCTACCCTCCGTGGAGGAAAAATAAAGATGGCTGACTGTGACTCGAGTTTAGGGCTACCCTCCGTGGAGGAAAAATAAAGATTGCTGACTGTGACTCGAGTTTAGGGCTACCCTCCGAGATGTCTTGTGACCAATGGAGACTTGTCACATTGTATAAATTTGATCTACACCAAACAATCTAAGATTGAAAATATCGTCAAGATAATCCTACAGGAAGTAATTAAACCACTAAGCTGACACATTTTTTGTTTGCCACTAAGTTGACACATTTTTTGTTTACCACTACATTGACACATTTTTTGTTTACCACTAAGTTGACACATTTTTTGTTTACCACTAAGTTGACACATTTTTTGTTTACCACTAAGCTGACACATTTTTTGTTTGCCACTAAGTTGACACATTTTTTGTTTACAACAACATTGATACAGTTTTTGTTTTCCACTAAGTTGACACGTGTTTTGTTTACCACTAAGTTGACACATGTTTTGTTTACCACTAAGTTGACACATGTTTTGTTTACCACTAAGTTGACACATTTTTTGTTTACCACTAAGTTGACACATTTTTTGTTTACAACAACATTGATACAGTTTTTGTTTTCCACTAAGTTGACACATTTTTTGTTTGCCACTAAGTTGACACATTTTTTGTTTACCACTAAGTTGACACATTTTTTGTTTGCCACTAAGTTGACACATTTTTTGTTTACCACTAATTTGACACATTTTTTGTTTACCACTACATTGACACAGTTTTTGTTTACCACTAAGTTGACACATTTTTTGTTTACCACTAAGTTGACACATTTTTTGTTTACAACAACATTGATACAGTTTTTGTTTTCCACTAAGTTGACACGTTTTGTTTACCACTAAGTTGACACATTTTTTGTTTGCCACTAAGTTGACACATTTTTTGTTTACCACTAAGTTGACACATTTTTTTTTTGCCACTAAGTTGACACATTTTTTGTTTGCCACTAAGTTGACACATTTTTTGTTTACCACTACATTGACACATTTTTTGTTTGCCACTAAGTTGACACATTTTTTGTTTACCACTAAGTTGACACTTTTTTTGTTTACCACAACATTGATACATTTTTTGTTTACCACTAAGTTGACACATTATTTTGTTTACCACTAAGTTGACACATTTTTTGTTTACCACTACATTGACACAGTTTTTGTTTACCACTAAGTTGACACATTTTTTGTTTACCACTAAATTAACACATTTTTTGTTTACCACTAAGTTGACACTTTATTTGTTTACCACAACATTGATACATTTTTTGTTTACCACTAAGCTGACACATTTTTTGTTTGCCACTAAGTTGACACATTTTTTGTTTACCACTAAGTTGACACATTTTTTGTTTACCACTAAGTTGACACTTTTTTTGTTTACCACAACATTGATACATTTTTTGTTTACCACTAAGCTGACACATTTTTTGTTTACCACTAAGTTGACACATTTTTTGTTTACCACTACATTGACACAGTTTTTGTTTACCACTAAGCTGACACATTTTTTGTTTACTACTAAGTTGACACGTTTTTTGTTTACCACTAAGTTGATATTTGATAAAGAACTTTCTCCGAAGATATATATACATACATAGCCGAAGACCATTCTCCTGTTTACTGCGTGATCAGGACAAAGTACTGATGGATTTAACCATAGTCTTGTCATGGTAATCATGGTCATTTACATTATAAGGCCAGTCCACCACTTCAGCCGTATCAAGAGAGATCAGACGTGTCTAGTGTCTGTCCCAAAAGTTTATACATCTACAAATTATCGTTGAAATAATAAACTATGTAATGCCAAACACAACAGAGACATTTTCAACATTTTGAAGCGATGATTTCCCAGTGTTCTTTCAAACTGGTTTTTTTTCTGAAAAGTTGTTCTGACGGACAACGATTTGATAATAAATTCTTTATGTATCTTGAGTTTGGCGTTTTGTCAGTACCTCCTCGGGGATCTAAATGCATTCTTACGCAGACTGAATCACTATACAGTCGTCCCTGTTTAATTCATTTTACGATTATTCAAGAGACACCTGTAACACATAATATAATTTTAGTGTTTTATATAACACGTTTCCCGATACATGTCCACGTAAATCTCAAAATTTCTTACTTTTGTCTCTGTTTTTATTTTTATTTGTTTTGATTTTTTTCCTTTTATTTTTTGTTTTTGTTTTTTTTTTCTTATCTCAAACATTTCCAGATAATTATTGTGATATTATGTAAACAAAGTTTCTTCGTTTTTGTATTTCCCATCCGTTCACGATCTATTTATCATATAGTTATTTAGTTCGGATAATTTTTCTCCAGCAAAAATACCGATACATTGAAATGTGCGTTTGGAAATACAAGTATTGTACTTACATCGATTCCTTTCTGTTCCCTAATCTTTCCTCGGACTTTAGCGCAAAGGTAAGCTCCAGCGGCTGGGAAAAGGTACCACACCACTGCTACCATGATACAACTGTCCCCGACAGCCTCGGCATTTTTACCGGCCGTGTAACACGGGGCGATGTATGTGATAAGACACAGGGTACAATTGCTCATACACCCACAGAGACCGTTTGACCACTCGCCCATCTTGGATTAAAGCTTATAGCGATGTCCAAAAAAGTAAAATTCAGGACCTGTTCTTTGCAGGGTGTAGTATCTAACGAATCTGTGGTAGCTAGGGTCCCAACCATACTTATACAGTCAGCTCAGTCACGTGACCAGGTTGTTTCTTTCATTATTTTTAAACACGTAAATGATCTCCAATATTTTGAGCTGTACTGCTTAGGATAGTTCAATGTCACTAACGATCCGAGCTCTAGACGAATCAAAACGGTTCTAAGCTACTTGGGACTTAGTCAAATATTCGTCACGGTTGAAAGGCTCGGTGTTATACAGGACAACTTTTCTTGTTTGTCATTATTGTTTGAAATCTTATAAGGCTTTAAACGGACAAACTCAGGAGTAATCCCTATGTGTGAACAATATAATGTAGGTTTATTATTACGATAACTTTTGAGAGGAAATGTGAATGAGAAGATGTGTCATCGAGGAATTGATCGCGCTTGACCGGGCTATTTTAAAATCGTCCTTATTTGAGACAACACATCCCGGTCTATTCATTAATCATCTGGAGACAATAAATACCGACTTATTTCCAAATCGTCTTTAGACATTTAATTACGGTCTACTTCTATCTCGATACGCCATTGTGATGATATTAATGACCAATGAGATAGAAGAAAACAACACATATTATCTTTAATCTCCTGAACCCTGTAGGTGACTATAGAGTGATGAACCCTGTAGGTGAATATAGAGTGATGAACTCTGTAGGTGACTATAGAGTGATGAACCCTGTAGGTGAATATAGAGTGATGAACTCTGTCGGTGAATAAAGAGTGATGAACCCTGTAGGTGAATATAGAGTGATGCACCCTGTAGGTGAATATAGAGTGATGAACTCTGTAGGTGAATAAAGAGTGGTGAACCCTGTAGGTGACACAGAGTGATGAACCCTGTCGGTGAATATAGAGTGATGAACCCTGTAGGTGAATATAGAGTGATGAACCCTGTAGGTGAATAAAGGGTGGTGAACCCTGTTGGTGAATAAAGAGTGGTGAACCCTGTAGGTGACACAGAGTGATGAACCCTGTCGGTGAATATAGAGTGATGAACCCTGTAGGTGAATATAGAGTGATGAACCCTGTAGGTGAATAAAGGGTGGTGAACCCTGTTGGTGAATATAGAGTGATGAACCCTGTAGGTGACACAGAGTGATGAACCCTGTCGGTGAATATAGAGTGATGAACCCTGTAGGTGAATATAGAGTGATGAACCCTGTAGGTGAATAAAGGGTGGTGAACCCTGTCGGTGAATATAGAGTGATGAACCCTGTTGGTGAATATAGAGTGATGAACCCTGTAGGTGAATATAGAGTGATGAACCCTGTAGGTGACACAGATTGATGAACCCTGTAGGTGAATATAGAGTGATGAACGTTTGGTTATCCCACCCTATTATTACCCGAAATTCGTCCTAGTTTCTAATTGTTGTGATCATATTCTTTTGAGTTTAAATACTGAATACAGAACAGTCCCTAATTAAGTGTGGATAGACAGGTTCTCACAGGCCCTACATAGTTCAACTTGGCATGACGAGTATTATCTGATAAAAACGATTACTGCTATTCATTGTTCAAATGGATCAGGAGATTGCCATCATATCTTTTATATGAATAGTTTATCTTTACCTTGCAATACAGACCTTTTCTTCCAAAATTTTTTTTAAAAGTTGATGAAAATTTAGACCCTGTGTTTTATATGCAGAACAACTGCATCGTTGTTTTTAACTGCAAAACATAACTTGTATTATTTGTCAAACTTAAAACATTTGTCATGGTGACAACTTCACACACCATTTCAAATGTTGCTTCATCGTTTTTCCCCAGCAAAAATACCGATACATTGAAATGTGCGTTTGGAAATACAAGTATTGTACTCACTTCGATCCCTTTCTGTTCCCTAATCTTTCCTCGGACTTGAGCGCAAAGGTAAGCTCCAGCGGCTGGGAAAAGGTACCACACCACTGCTACCATGACACAACTGTCCCCGACAGCCTCAGCATTTTTACCAGCTGTGTAACACGGGGCCACATATGTGACAAGACAAAGAGTGACGTTGTTGAAACAACCGCAAAGACCGTTGGACCATTCACCCATTTTGGATAGTTGTCGTGACAGAAACTACGATTAAAATGTCCAACAGTTCTGACACTTCCAAGTGGTAGAGTCTTGAGACCTATGGTAACAACGGCTTTTATACTATGCAGACATGTAAACGTCACGTGACTCATCGCCTCCCAACCATTAGTTGTTGTATTGTTCTTTCATTGATGTTTGTCAGGTGTAATTCAAAACTGATTGTTTAACTCGATCAACCGAACAAAAACAGCGACAAAAATATTTTAGGTGATCCAATGTTACGTGTAAGATTATGAACAGACCCGTTCAGCAAATGGATTGTCCACCGAAACGTCACCGAAATAAGAATGTCATCGGGAAGTGTGTTCCATAATTTAAAATAGTATGGGATAAGAAAGAATGTCATCGGGAAGTGTGTTCCATAATTCAATAGAAAAGGGTATCAAAGAATGTCATCGGGAAGTGTGTTCCATAATTTAATAGAATGGGGTAAGAAAGAATGTCATCGGGAAGTTTGTTCCATAAACCAACAGAACGGGGTAAGAAAGACATCGGGAAGTTTGTTCCATACGCCAACAGAAGGGGGTAAGAAAGACATCGGGAAGTGTGTTCCATAATTTAATAGAATGGGATAAGAAAGAATGTCATCGGGAAGTGTGTTCCATAATTCAATAGAAAAGGGTAACAAAGAATGTCATCGGGAAGTGTGTTCCATAATTTAAAATAGTATGGGATAAGAAAGAATGTCATCGGGAAGTGTGTTCCATAATTCAATAGAAAAGGGTATCAAAGAATGTCATCGGGAAGTGTGTTCCATAAGCTAACAGAAGTGGGTAAGAAAGGTATCGGGAAGTGTGTTCCATAATTTGAAATAGTATGGGATATGAAAGAATGTCATCGGGAAGTGTGTTCCATAAGTCAACAGAAGGGGGTAAGAACGACATCGGGAAGTGTGTTACATAAGCTAACAGAAGTGGGTAAGAAAGATATCGGGAAGTGTGTTCCATAATTTAATAGAATGGGGTAACAAAGAATGTCATCGGGAAGTGTGTTCCATAATTTAATAGAATGGGGTAAGAAAGAATGTCATCGGGAAGTGTGTTCCATAATTCAATAGAATGGGGTAAGAAAGAATGTCATCGGGAAGTGTGTTCCATAATTTAATAGAATGGGGTAAGAAAGAATGTCATCGGGAAGTGTGTTCCATAATTCAATAGAAATGGGTATCAAAGGATGTCATCGGGAAGTGTGTTCCATAATTCAATAGAATGGTGTAGGAAAGAATGTCATCGGGAAGTTTGTTCCATAATTCAATAGAATGGTGTAAGAAAGAATGTCATCGGGAAGTGTGTTCCATAATTAAAAAGAATGGGGTAACAAAGAATGTCATCGGGAAGTGTGTTCCATAATTTAATAGAATGGGGTAACAAAGAATGTCATCGGGAAGTGTGTTCCATAATTTAATAGAATGGGATAAGAAAGAATGTCAACGGGAAGTGTGTTCCATAATTCAATAGAAAAGGGTAACAAAGAATGTCATCGGGAAGTGTGTTCCATAACCCTACAGAACGGGGTAAGAAAGACATCGGGAAGTGTGTTCCATAAGCCAATAGAATGGGGTAAGAAAGTGTGTTCCATAATGTCACAGATGGGGGGAAGTGTGTTTCATAATTGAATAGAATGGGATAAGAAAGAATGTCATCGGGAAGTGTGTTCCATAATTCAATAGAATGGGGTAAGAAAGAATGTCATCGGGAAGTGTGTTCCCTAAGCCAACAGAAAGGGGTAAAAAAGACATAGGGAAGTGTGTTCTATAAGTCAACAGAAGGGGGTAAGAACGACATCGGGAAGTGTGTTACATAAGCTAACAGAAGGGGGTAAGAAAGACATCGGGAAGTGTGTTCCATAAGTCAACAGAAGGGGGTAAGAACGACATCGGGAAGTGTGTTACATAAGCTAACAGAAGTGGGTAAGAAAGGTATCGGGAAGTGTGTTCCATAATTTGAGAAAGACATCGGGAAGTGTGTTCCATAAGCCAACAGAATGGGGTAAGAAAGACATCGGGAAGTGTGTTCCATAAGCCAACAGAAGGGGGTAAGAAAGACATCGGGAAGTGTGTTCTATAAGCCAACAGAAGGGGGTAAGAAAGACATCGGGAAGTGTGTTCCATAATTTAATAGAATGGGGTAAGAAAGACATCGGGAAGTGTGTTCCATAATTTAATAGAATGGGGTAACAAAGAATGTCATCGGGAAGTGTGTTCCATAATTTAATAGAATGGGATAAGAAAGAATGTCAACGGGAAGTGTATTCCATAATTCAATAGAAAAGGGTATCAAAGAATGTCATCGGGAAGTTTGTTCCATAAACCAACAGAAGGGGGTAAGAAAGACATCGGGAAGTGTGTTCTATAAGCCAACAGAAGGGGGTAAGAAAGACACCGGGAAGTGTGTTGCATAAGCTAACAGAAGGGGGTAAGAAAGAAAGACATCGGAAAGTGCATTCCATAAGCCAACAGAACGGGGTAAGAAAGACATCGGGAAGTGTGTTCCATAAGCCAACAGAAGGGGGTAAGAAAGACATCGGGAAGTGTGTTCCATAATTCAAGAAGATCGGGGGTGTCAACAGAAGGGGGAAAGACATCGGGAAGTGTGTTCCATTAGCCAACAGAAGGGGGTAAGAAAGACATCGGGAAGTGTGTTCTATAATTTAATAGAATGGGGTAAGAAAGACATCGGGAAGTGTGTTCCATAATTTAATAGAATGGGGTAAGAAAGACATCGGGAAGTGTGTTCCCTAAGCCAACAGAATTGGGTAAGAAAGCCATCGGGAAGTGTGTTCCATAAGCCAACAGAAGGGGGTAAGAAAGACATCGGGAAGTGTGTTCCATAAGCCAACAGAATTGGGTAAGAAAGACATCGAGAAGTGTGTTCCATAATTCAATAGAATGGGGTAAGAAAGAATGTCATCGGGAAGTGTGTTCCATAATTTAATAGAATGGGGTAAGAAAGAATGTCATCGGGAAGTGTGTTCCATAATTCAATAGAAAAGGGTATCAAAGAATGTCATCGGGAAGTGTGTTCCATAATTCAATAGAATGGGGTAACAAAGAATGTCATCGGGAAGTGTGTTCCATAATTTAATAGAATGGGATAAGAAAGAATGTCAACGGGAAGTGTGTTCCATAATTCAATAGAAAAGGGTAACAAAGAATGTCATCGGGAAGTGTGTTCCATAATTCAATAGAAAAGGGTATCAAAGAATGTCATCGGGAAGTGTGTTCCATAATTCAATAGAATGGGGTAACAAAGAATGTCATCGGGAAGTGTGTTCCATAATTCAATAGAAAAGGGTAACAAAGAATGTCATCGGGAAGTGTGTTCCATAATTTAAAATAGTATGGGATAAGAAAGAATGTCATCGGGAAGTGTGTTCCATAATTTAAAATAGTATGGGATAAGAAAGAATGTCATCGGGAAGTGTGTTCCATAATTCAATAGAAGGGGGTAAGGGGTAAGTGTGAAAGAACATCGGGAAGTGTGTTCCATAATTCAACAGAAGGGGGTAAGAAAAAGACATCGGGAAGTTGTTCCGGGAAGTGTGTAATTCAACAGAAGGGGGTAAAAAAGAGTGTGTTCCATAATTTCAACAGAAGGGAAGTGTGTTCCATAATTTCAACAGAAGGGGGTAAGAAAGACATCGGGAAGTGTGTTCAATAATTTAATAGAATGGGGTAAGAAAGAAGGTCATCGGAAAGTGTGTTCCATAAGCCAACAGAATGGGGTAAGAAAGACATCGGGAAGTGTGTTCCATAAGCCAACAGAAGGGGGTAAGAAACACATCGTGAAGTGTGTTCCATGAACCAACAGAAGGGGGTAAGAATGACATCGGGAAATGTGTTCCATAATTTAATAGAATGGGGTAAGAAAGAATGTCATCGGGAAGTGTGTTCCATAAGTCAACAGAAGGGGGTAAGAAAGACATCGGGAAGTGTGTTCCATACTTCAATAGAATGGTGTAAGAAAGAATGTCATCGGGAAGTGTGTTCCAATAATTCAATAGAATGTTGTAAGAAAGAATTTCATCGGGAAGTGTGTTACATAAGCTAACAGAAGTGGGTAAGAAAGGTATCGGGAAGTGTGTTCCATAATTTGAAATAGTATGGGATATGAAAGAATGTCATCGGGAAGTGTGTTCCATAATTCAATAGAAAAGGGTAACAAAGAATGTCATCGGGAAGTGTGTTCCATACGCCAACAGAAGGGGGTAAGAAAGACATCGGGAAGTTTGTTCCATACGCCAACAGAAGGGGGTAAGAAAGAATGTCATCGGGAAGTGTGTTCCATAATTCAATAGAAAAGGGTAACAAAGAATGTCATCGGGAAGTGTGTTCCATAATTTAATAGAATGGGGTAAGAAAGAATGTCATCGGGAAGTGTGTTCTATCAAACAACTGAATGGGGTAAGAAAGACATCGGGAAGTGTGTTCCATAATTTAATAGAATGGGGTAAGAAAGAATGTCATCGGGAAGTGTGTTCCATAATTTAATAGAATGGGGTAAGAAAGAATGTCATCGGGAAGTGTGTTCCATAATTAAAAAGAATGGGGTAACAAAGAATGTCATCGGGAGGTGTGTTCCATAATTCAATAGAATGGAGTAACAAAGAATGTCATCGGGAAGTGTGTTCCATAATTAAATAGTATGGGATAAGAAAGAATGTCATCGGGAAGTGTGTTCCATAATTCAATAGAATGGTGTAGGAAAGAATGTCATCGGGAAGTTTGTTCCATAAGCCAACAGAAGGGGTTAAGAAAGACATCGGGAAGTGTGTTACTTTTGTCAACAGAAGTGGGTAAGAACGACATCGGGAAGTGTGTTACTTTTGTCAACAGAAGGGGGTAAGAAAGACATCGGGAAGTGTGTTCCATAAGCCAACAGAAGGGGGTAAGAAAGACATCGGGAAGTGTGTTCCATAAGCCAAGAGAAGGGGGTAAGAAAGACATCGGGAAGTGTGTTCCCTAAGCCAACAGAAAGGGGTAAGAAAGACATCGGGAAGTGTGTTCT